ATATATATATATATATATATATATGTATATATATATATATATATATATATGTATATATATATATATATATATATATATATATATATATATATATATATATATATATATATATATATATATATATAAGGCCGGCGAGATAGGAAGGTGTGACACCCCCTCCCCCCTCCCTTCATCAATGATTTTTAGTCGGCAAACTGGGCAAATCGAACCCTTTTAGACTAGTTAGTCGGCAAATGTCGACCCTTTCGATATAAGTTAGACAGTCGGCAAATGTCGCAATGGCAGTCTGCAAATTTTGGAAAACGAGGACCTTTTTTTTTTTAGTCGCCAAAAGTTGTAATGGCACCCCCTCACGTGACACCTACTCGTGCCGGCCCTGTATATATATATATATACATACATATATATATATATATATATATATATATATATATATATATATATATATATATATATATATATATATATATATATATATATATATATATATATATATGTATATATATATATACATATATATATATATATATATATATATATATATATTTATATATATATAAATATATATATATATATATATATATATAAAAGTTTACTTTCAAAAACGATTAAAAGGCATAATAGGGTTGTATGGTTATGATATTCAATTTATAAAGTCTTTTTTATTATATATTAATTCACTGTTGGGTGATAAAAACTTTTAACTAAGATATTACAATTAAGAGTCGTTATTACGGAATTTAATGTTTTTAAATTCAGCAATAACGACTTGCGAAAAGAAAAGCTCTTTCCTGGAAGTTTTATGATTCAAGGGTTGTGGTAGAAAGACATGCTATGAGTAAAGAACATGATCAAAAGATCCTAAGCAAAAAATGGTCAAGAGAAGGAGATGTATTAGAAATGGTTGATTGTACCCGGTTAGATTGTAAATGAGCTAAAGAAAGAGGAGCATAGAACTATTTTTTTCAGGAAATTGTTAATGATGATTTTTTAAACTTTTTAATTTAATATTTTTGATTTCTCGATTTTATTATTTGCTTGACTATGAACAGCGAATGATTTTTTTTATGATTTGACTCAGAACCAAAAGGTTCGAGGTTTGACGCCGGCTCTTGCCCAATTAGCGATATTGGTAAGGAAGGAGGCGTTAACTTCCTAATTAAATGCTCTTCCAAAAATCATATATTTAATTAAGTTCAAATTCTTCGGGTTGTTTCTTTCTTTTAGATAGAGTGATAATAGCTTAATAGAACTAAATTTATTACTTTTATTTCATATTTATTATTTTTATTTTATATTTATTATTCTTATTTTATATTCATTTTTATTATTTTATATTTATTATTTTAATTTTATATCTATTATTTTTATTTTATTATTTTTATTTTATGTTTATTATTATTATTTTATATTTATTATCTTTGTTTTATATTTATCATTTTTATTTTATTTGAATCTATTGAGAGTTTACCTTGGTTTTTGCAACGATAATATCTGGTAAAATTTAGAAAGCTGCGCTTTTAAAATAATTATTTTTAATATTTCAAGTAAGGTTTTCTTTATTTTATTATAATCTATCAGTGTTTTTTTAAGTTTTAACTTACGTGATAAAAAAGCCGATAAAATGTTGTTTTCTTTTTTATTGATGTTTTCCATTTTATGCTCAGTTAGCACAAAAAAAATATGAATTTTTTGTTTGAACACTTTTAACGATATAAAGCAGTATTTATTTAGTATATTTAAAATTTCATTATTCTTGTCGCGTTATTCACATCTTGTTATAGTATCTTTCTTCTAAATTTACGGCCTCGATTCAATAGTATTTTATATTAAGTATGTATAAACATTTATACATAGTTAACGATAAAACAAATTTTATGTTTAAAAAGGTGACAGAAGTTTTACAGGAAACTGGTGAAGAAGGTGACAGAAAAGTGACGTCGAAAATTTTAAACTTGTTGTTCTATAAGGTTTATATTATTTTTATTTTTTTAAATAAAAACATTACGAAGAGAGAGTTTCCGACAGTGCATTTTTTCGTACTGCATCATGAGAGTACAAATAAAAAAATCGACGAGGAAGAAACAAACAAAAAAAAAAGAAAAAAAAAGAGGAGGGATTTTTATCTTAAAAAAACAAAATAATCAGTTTAATTTCATTAAGCATTTCCATTTTCTTCATTCGTTTCATCTCAGTTATGCTTACGCAAACGCGAGTGTAAAAATAGAAAAAAAACCATAGCATATAAGGACTACCATTTAATAGAAATTAAAATTACATAATAAAAATTTTATAACCCGTTGATTTTTTTTTTTTTTTTTATTCGTGTTTAGGTTTTTAAACATTGTTTTAATGCGCTTTTAACAACAGTAGCAACTTCTTTTTAATATTTCATTCTTTAGTTTTTTGCACCTTATTCTAAAGTATACTGGAAACGAGTTTGTAACAAACCATCTGCGAAAAAAAAATTTCCTTTACCTTCCTTTACCAAAAATAAAGATGAAATAAATAAAATTAAGTATTCATATTCAGCATGTTCACTATTTTTCTTTTTTACTCACTATTTATTTTGCTCATTATTTCTCTCATTAGTAATTTTAAGTAAGAAATGTTAAATTATCGTAGATTTTTATTAATTGGATATCAAAGATCAAGCAACCTTTTTTTTTATTTAATGGCAAAACTTGAGAACTTGTTTTAAAATTGATCTGAAAACAAAAGAAATAAAGAATAAATGCAGAATAAAATGATATTGTTTACAATGAAAAGTTTGTACTGTTTTTTATACTTTGGGTTAACTTTTTTGAGAGAGAAATTTTAAAGAAAATAAAATATTAAATGAATTAGTAAAAGTGTAGTCGTGAAACCATTGGACGATGGGTATTTTTATGTTTGAATGTTATTTTTTTTTCTGCAGCTAAAACTTTTATTGGCTATTTTAACTTTAATAGGTTTTAAAACCTACTAAAACATCTGAAAGTTTGTATTTGTCAAAAAGTTGTTAAATTGCCTTAATGAAGCTTCAGCGATATCCGAAAGTTTCAATCTTTAGTATTAGAATCGGTAAATACAAGGAACGCGTATATAAACAAAAATGTACAACGTAAGTATTATTTGGGAGTAACAAAAATCAAATAAACTTTTTAAACATTGACCTTAAAATTCTTATATGAGTAAAACCTGTGGTTTAGTTTTGTGTGAAAAAAATAGACCTTGTTATATAACATAACCTTATTATATAATATAGGTTCCTTATATTATGCAGTACCCGTTATATAATATATTAGGTTCGTTGATTTTCTTAGTTTTGAAAGCATTCCATTTCTTTTGCTGAAAATAAAAAACTTTAATTCACTTGTACATATGTCAAATACGTGGATGGTATGTCAAACATGTTCATAAGTCAAACACGTGGATGGTATGTCAAACATGTACATAAGTCAAACACGTGGAACTTTAAATTTATTTTGAAAATTATGTTTACTTAAAAAACTTTAATTAAATCGATTTTTAAAAAAATTTAAAGAAACTAATTTATTTATTTATTATCAATTTAAAAACAAAGGATTTTTTTAAAATTTTAGTTGCAAATCGAAGAGTGTTTTTCTAAAAGGAGTTTTTCCCAAATTGAGATTTTTCAACATTCAACATTTCAACATTATTGAAAAAAGTACTTTGACAGATAAGTAGTTTTTTTATTTTACTCAAAAAAAAAAAGTGACTTAGCTTCTTTTAGAAAAACGCTCTTCAATTTTTAATACCACCTTATTTTTTAGGAATGGGTATATTAAACAAAGTACTATTGGCTTAGTTTAATATACCCAAAAAATATTTAGACCTATTTTTTAAAAATTTATCTAAATACATAAATTAAAATAATAAAAAAAATTTAGTGTTATAAATCTTAGTGTTATAAATTTAGTGTAAGAAATACATAAAAAAAAAGAAAAGTTAGAAACAAGAGTAACAACAAATATTTGGCGGCAATACGATCAGCGGCGACAAGGCAAATAAATGAATAATTGTTTCATTTTTATATTAAAACTCCGCTTACGTGCTGTATTCTTTAATAAAAAATTTCGTTCATTCTTTTTGGTTGCTTTTTAACAACCAAAATTTAAAACATGTTTTATTACTTTTTATTTTTTATTTTTAACAGAAATCAAAGCAACAATAGAAAAACGTAAATAGATAAAAGAAATCAAATTTTAAAAATTTAATAACAAAAATCAAAAATTCAAGAAGTTACTGAAATATTTTTGAAAGTTATTGAACTATCTTAAAAAGCAACCAAATCTTGTTTGTTTTTTTGACGTGACGATTATTATTAGAACCACCGTCTTTGGATACTGAATCTACTGTTAAGAACTCTTGCTTCAGCCCTGTCTTTAAATTTTCCAAACATTTTATTGTATTTCTGCCATTCATTGTGTTGCAAAAACAATGTAAAAAATTTATGATTTGTTAGATAAAAATATTTTAGGAGAATAAGTAGTCAATAAAAAGTAATAAAAAAGTAATAAAAAATAAACTTACATAATATATATTTTGTAGGATATGCATCCATGTTTGTAATAAAAATATATATACTTTTACAATATATATTTTAGTAGATTATGCGTTCGTGCTTGTCATGAGACGATATTTATTAAAAAGTATGTTTAGTTTATGAAAATTGTTTTAACTTTTATATTGTTTTCAAGCTAATAACTATTAACGAATCAATAAATCTAACATATAACTAATATAAATTAGTATATATACACCATTTACGTACCATATATGTACAGCATTTACGCAATAAAATAGATTAATTAACTCCATATTCCCATTAACATTTTATTTTTAAGCTAGTTTACTTTAATAAAGTTCATCTTCTCGCGCGTTCCTTTCTTTTCGCGTTCCTAATGCAACATATAAATTTGCTTTTACTATTTGCTATATTTCTTTCGATTTTTTTATATTTCACTACAATATTATCAAACAATGTTTTAGTTTATGTTTTTTTATCTCTTATAGAAATAAAGATAAACAAAATTATTATGTAGCGTCTCGGAAAAATACAAATATGAGATTAGCACACTTGGATGTTAAAAAAAACAATTTAAATTACAAAGATGAGTTTTACTCTCGCGAGTCTCCCTGTTTAATAGCTCGTAATCAGTCGTCTATAAGCAATCGTGTACGCTATGACTCTAAGCCATTATCATCATGCTCTTGTTATGAGCCTTTTGAAAGTTCTGAAGATATTTCAAGCTCCGTTGTATCATACAACGATCTTTCTTCATTGTCTATGGATTCTTTAGCTGACGATGGTTTTATGAGTTCTTCGGCAAGCATTTCAAAAAGAGCTTACAACCAATTAAATTGCAACGAAAGTTTTATTTCGTACAGTAGCAGTTTACAGTCAAACCAATCTGACCAAGCAAAGTATTCAGGCATACTTAAACGGACTAAAAGTATTTTTGACGAAGAAAAGGAAGATTTTATAAACACGGACAACACACAAATAACTCTGGAAATAATTAATAAAATACAGGAAAATGAATTAGAAGATATATTGCAATACGCAGATGATATTATTTCACCAGACCCTTCAACCCTACGCACATGCTCTTCCCAGCCTGTTAAAATTGTAGAGGGATCGTTTAGACATATTTTGTCAGTCAAAGATTTGAGTTCTAAATCTTTTAAATACAGAACAATTGAGATTAGTAAAAAGGATATGCCTGATCTAGGTTTTAGTGTGCGTAAAGGAGATGGTTGGGAAAATATAAGTGGAGTATACATTTCGCGTGTCTGTTTAGGAAGCATTTTTGATAAGTATGAGCTACTCACTGTTGGAGACGAAATAGTTCAAATAAATAAAATTGAAGTTCACAATATGAGCATTCCTGACGTAATCAAAATTATGCAAATTCCGAGAAGATTGTGTCTAACAGTGAAAATTTTAACTCCGTTTACGTGTAAAAAAAACAGAGGTAATGACGTAAAACATAAATATTTTTCAAAACCTATTAGTTATGATAAATATAAAATTGCACAACTAAAAATTAATACACAGAAAAATAACAAAACAAAAACAACCATAACAACATTAGCAACAACTCATAACTTATCAAAAAAGACAAATGACAGGTTATATGAACGATCAAATGGTTCCAACAAATCAAGTAACCTTAAAACTGAACGTAATAATATTACCTTATCACCATATAGAACAATGGAAGGAGGAAATGCTGTGCAATTAAATAAACAATGTTTATTATCGGTACCGAACAAGTTGCAACAAAATAATAGAAAAACTTCTTTTGTTACGTGGTCAGATTTAACATACAATAATAATTAAATTTAACATACAATAATAATTAAATTTAACATACAATAATAACTAAATTTAGCTATGATATATTGTAAAAGTTGTGGTTTTAATTTTATTTAAATAAAAGCAGTTTTATTTGTTAATTTACGTAATATATGCGGCTCCCTACGCAACTTTAATGAAATTAATGAAGTTTGATTTAAATAAATACCGTTTTACTTAAATAAATATGGTTCTATAAAATATAACTAATAATATAGACATAAATATTTTTAAAGCTTAAATATAAATATATTTAAATATAAACATATTTAAATATAAAAGGAAGTTTCCAGGTAAGTAGTATCTTACTCGTACCTTGTTACCAGGGTATTCAAATCATTATGCATACTCTGAAGTTATATTTTTAGCATTTTCTAAGTTTTTCAATAACAATTTTGATAAACTTAGTATTTATTAAAATAAAGTAGTCAGACTTCTCAAGGTTTTTATTATTCTCTACCCCTTATTCTGAAGAGTCAATTTTTATGTAACAGTATTTGGCACATTATTGTCAACTGCAACACCTTCTTAGGTCATTTTTTATGAGTAAAATTCATTACCTTGGAGAACCAAGCTAATTCTAGAAGAGATGAAAACAAGGTTCATAATTTTGAAATTAGAAATTACAAGTTAGGAAAAAACGTTATATTTCTAAATTGTTGTAAACAAGCCATTCACTATTTAAGTATCTACTAATAAAATATCGAAACCAATTTTTTGCTTTATCAAATTGCGTCTAAGAAAATATTTTTTTTAATCTATTGAAATACAAAAAATTTTTTTCAATTTTTTCATTTTAGTCTTTTGTCGCCAGAAGACTATTGTTCTCATTTAGTTTTATAACTTCGATTAAATAAATTAAATACACATGGTTTTCCAGAAGATTTTTTTACAAATTTGTTATTAGAAGTCGTTTGTGTTGTGGTTATGTTATATCCTACTTGCAATTCTTATTTCTAGTGCATCTATCTTGAAATTAACATCACCATCAAAGTCTTTTGTTTTAGCCCACAATGTTCTGAATCCACTTAAATAAAGAACGGTTGAGCAAAGTATCTTGAAGGATATTTTGTTCTAATACACGTCATTACAAACAATTGCTTCTCATTTTGTTTTTAGCAAGTATCTGCTTGTCTTTTTTAAAAACTTAAGTTATTCCTTACCCATAATGCCTAAAACTTAAAAATTTAAACTGAGCAGTATTTGATATAATTTTATATTAATTTTAGAGGATTTTCTGATATCTTTTGTAATCCATGGTGACATTAAACCTTAAGTCGTTATTAAAATTATTATTTTTTAATTATTTTTGTGCTTCTAGAACAATCATTTTTTTATTCATTTTTGTGCTTTTGTTAGTAATGGAATTGACACGCTAAAAAAATTGTTACTTCTCTCCCTCTCAATTTGAGAGGGTTAAAAATTTTATATGGTCATAAATTTTGAACGCTCAGAGATTATTGTATAAAAATTTAAATTTATTGATGAATAGAAGAATATAAGTTTAGTTAAAAGGTAAAAACTATATTCTATCAACTTGTTATACAAATCTCACGTTTGTTCCATGACTCCAATCATCACAATTTTTTGCAAAGCATTCTTACTATATCAACTATTATAAACACAAATGTTTGAAGTTTAGTCCATGTCTGGAAGTAAGCTATCTATAACATAAAATAATGGTGCATTGCCTCTCTCCACTGATCAAGCAACTACTCATTTTGCTCAAAATATTATTCAGGTATTCGATGAAAATATATATACTTTAGGTGCATTTATTGATCTTAGCAAAGTATTTAAATACTTTGCTAAGATCAATAATTGTACCTAACCTGGATCTCCTGCTTCTAAAGCAAGCGTTCTAACCACTACGCCACGGCCGCTTAAATATACAAAAATATACAAACAATATTTATTTAATTTGATTTAAAATTATAAAATAATTAATGATAAAAAATTTAAAAAATAAAAAATTTAAAAAGCTGATGATTGATGTTAATAAATATTTCAAATACAAAGTTTCTTTAGATATGCAAAGACTTTTGATATCTTTTAAAACTTTTACTGCTCGTTTGGCACAAATGTTGGATCTTTGCGTATTTATAGACAAAAAACTATAACTTCACACCAGAACTTCGTGATTGTATTGATAGTGGCATCCTCCGATTCTTCACCATTTTCAGGGTTAAACATTTGGTTTAAAGACCAGATATCTGCCCATTTTTCATATTTATATTTGGTAAACTTTTAAAATTAACCTTAAGAAATTTCTTTTCATTCCATAAATATTTTACTACATTAAACAGATGCTTCAAAACCTGCTTGTCATCTCTCCACTTCAGTTAATTCTCCTTCAATGGTATACGACTATTGTCAAAGTTTGTTGTTAAATAGTCATATTTACTATGCATTGCTTCAAAAAAATAATATTGCGATTCAGTTGAATTGGTATTACCTCCAAAAAATTTTATCCAGTTATAACCCTAACCCTGAACATGCCATTCTACAATTTACAAAAAATATATCTGACTCATTTGAAACTTCTCAATTTACTTTAAGTGTTTTCATTGACTTGGCAAAAGCTTTTAATACTATTGATCACGAAGTTATTTTTAAAAAGTTGGAGTGGTACGGAATTACTGGAAATATATTAATTTCTAAATAGTCGGAAACAATTTATTTATGCGGATGATAACGTATCATCCAATTTGTTAAATATTTCATGTGGAGATCCTCAAGGATCCATACGTTTTATCATATATATATATTACCTTTTATCATATATATATATATATATATATATATATATATATATATATATATATATATATATATATATATATATATATATATATATATATATATATATAATTGTTTATAATTAATTTTACTTTCTTATTTTAAAATAATTTTATCATAAAAGTATTTACTCTATTTATATAAGTTTAAATGATCATGCATATAAAAATATGGATTTTGATGGTAGAAATAAATTGTTTTATAATAGTTGCCTGGTATCTGATTGTTTCCTAATTGTGAGATCGGAATTTCTCCGATGCTTTCAATTACCACAATTAGTTTGCTAATGACTTAACTGCTAAACTAATTAAAGGTGCTTTTAATTTAAAAGTTTTTAGTCTTCAAATCTTCGTATTTAAAACGACAACAAGATCATCGAACTTTTAAAATTTGACAAATTGATGGTTAAGAGCACAAAGGGAATATGTCCATCATTAAACATTAGGTAAACATTAAACAAATTAGGTATTAAAGTATGTAAAAGAAATGAAAATAAAATAGTAAAAAACAAGACAGAATTAATTGTGGAATGCATTTGGTTAAAAATCATAACAATAAATAAATATCATAAATTATTGTGTTTTCAAACTTTCAAATTCAGATTTCTCAAAACAATGGTTAGTAGACGTATTCCCTTTGTGCTCTTAATCATCGATATAATAAAAAAAAATGTTTCATTTATTTAAAAATTTTATGGGGCTCTAGATATATCGCTTTAGGTGTATGGCAATAAAAAACACATGTAACATTGTGTATTAACTTTATTTTAATAGACAATAACTAATTAAATCAAACATTTTGGTGTCCTACAGTTATTACATGATTTTTTTAATTCATGAAGCGTAAAAAAATATTTCAAAAACATATTGCGACTATATAATTATTTTAGAAAAGTTAATAACTTTCCTTTTTGATGTCTTTTTTTTATGTTTTTCAGTGTGTGTACTTTGTGTCCTTTATATATTTTATGATTTTGTGAATATTTTTAGCGGAATATTTTTGTATCTAAGTGACGTAAAAACATGAATTTAGAATTTATATAAGAATCCTGTATATAAAAACATTTTTTATTTGCATGCTTTAAAGTGCCCTTTAGGTGTCCTAGAGTCTATAGTGCAATTATGGTGATGAATATAAGAGTATTTTTAATGGATAAAGCTTGAAAGGTTACCCTTAAAACATGAATTTTGACTATGTATACTTATCTGAAAAAATGTTTTTACTGACTTTTTTAGGGTGTTTTGCAGTGTGTTATTTTAGTATCCTAGAGTTATGGTATGCCCTCAGGAGTATTATTTAATGATGGACACAAAGAGATTTTTCCTAAGTATAGTCAAATGTCCACAGTAAACCAAAGTGCAAAGTAAACCACTGCGCATCATTACAGTGTACATCATATGTACACTGTAAGTTACAACTATAAATCACACGCAATCTAAACTTTAAATTTGAGGCTTAATATTTACAATACAAACATTTTAATTGTTTTGTGAACCCAAAATATGTGAAAAACTGTTTCGTTGATGAATTATTATAAATCAATTATAAAAAAAGTTTGTTACAAATAAATATGGCGCCTATAAAGTGTAAAATATAATTTTTTTTTTTTTTTTAATTTTATTTTGCTGTTTATATAAATTACAATTTCCTTTCACCAAAAATAAAATATAATTACAAATGTACAGGTAATAAACAGTCAGGGGCTCAATGAAGATATGGATGGCAAAATACCAACCTGATCTTTTCATAGAGCCCCTACAGATCATAACAATAATATATGGTAAAATATGGTTAATAAATCAAGTAGAAAATTTAGGAAAAAAAAAAGAAATAGTAAAAAAGAAAATATAATATTTAAGAATAAAAATAGAGAAAAAAGAAGATGTATCAATTAAAAGTAAAAACAGCCTCAATTAGTCAAAAAAGAAGATATAATATTTAAAAATACATATTGTGAATAAAGAACATATAGTAAAATATATATATATATATATATATATATATATATATATATATATATATATATATATATATATATATATATATATATATATATATATATATATATATATATATATATATATATATATATATATATATATAGTTAAAAAGATATAATATTAATAAATACTAATAGTTACAAAAAGTTATAAAAGAATATATTTAAATACAAATTTCCAATTAAATATATGATGTTATATTCAACATATAATATATAAAGATTACATATAATATTTAAAAACACAAACTGTTAAATAATCAGATATAATGCTAAAAAAAATTTTTTTGTAAACAAAATAAAAATTAATTCGTAAGATTTAGAACGTAAGTTTTTGTTTGAAACTGAAATTAAGTTAACGATTTTGCCATATTTAAATTGTCTTTCAGAAAAGAGTTCCATAGCTTGGGACCTCTATAAGTTATACTATACTCTGTGTATTTGTTTACTTTTTTAGGTAAATTATATGTGTTACTTTGATTTATTCTTAAGAAATACTTCTCATTTAAATTTTTATTAAATTTACTTATGAAGATTTCAGGAGTTAGATTATTGGTATATTTATACATAAAGTTTAGGTGTTGGAAAATATTTATCTGATATATGTTCATCATTTTCATATCCATCATTAAAGGTTTAGTGTGGTCCCCCCTTTTTTTGTTGTATATAATTCTACAAGCATGTTTTTGTGAGGAAAGAATTTTTTTAAGTTTTGTTGGTGGACAACTTGCCCACGTAATATTTGCATAAGTAATGTAACAATGAATTAAGCTGAAGTATATAAGCTTTAGACTATATGAATTTAAGTATGGGCGAGTTCGATACATAATACTAATGGTTCTACTAATTTTTGATTGTATATATTTTATGTGTGGGAGCCATGATAAATGATCATCCACAATAACTCCTAAAAACTTTATAGTATCTTGTTTTTTAATTTGTTTATAATTTATAATAAGTTTTGGCAGTTTTAGAGGAAGGTTTTCTTCTTGTGTTTTTTTATGAAACAAGGTATATTGTGTTTTTTCAACGTTAAGAGAAAGTTTATTTGACCTGAACCAATCATTTACTTTTTCTAATTCAATGTTCATGTCAGCATAAAGTTGATTAATGTTGCAGTTAGATAAAAAAAGATTTGTATCGTCTGCAAACATGATAGCATTTAGTTTTAATGATGCATGATTAAAATCATTAACATAAATTAAAAATAAGAGTGGTCCTAGGATCGATCCTTGAGGCACTCCACACAGAATATTTAGTATTCCAGATTTCTTGTTTTGAACATACTGTTTTCTATAAGATAGATAACTTTTTATCCAATGATATAATTTATTGCATACCCCGTACCATTTTAGTTTTTTTAACAGAATAGAGTGATCAACGGATAATCTATGAATACTCCGAGAGTAAACTTATCATTTTCAAAACCATCAGTTATTTGGTCGACTAATTCAATAATGGCATGTTCTGTTGAATGTTTTTTTTGAAATCCGAATTGTTTTGAATTAAAAAATTTATTTTTTGTAAAATAATCAAATATTCTATTATAAACTACACGTTCGAAGATTTTTGAGAAAACAGAAAGTACCGATATGGGTCTATAGTTTGATACGTCGGCGCGATCATTATTTTTATAAATTAGGTATACTCTCGCAAGTTTAAGTATATCAGGAAATACTCCTTGATCTAAAGATAGGTTTACTATGCGGAACAAAGGTTTTTTTAATGCTTTTTTTGTTAGATATAAGGATATTACTGGGAATTTCATTAAACCCTGAAGATTTTTTTTTTTTTTAAAGAAAAATAAGCTGCGTCAAATTCAAGAAAAGTTAAGTCACTATCATACATTGTTTCATCAGTTGATTTTTTTAGTTTTAAATGACGTAGAAGTTGGTATAATTTTGTTTGCGAGACTAATCCCAACATTTGTAAAGTATTTATTAAACTCGTTAGATATTTTATAAGGACAAAGTATATCTGGTTTATTAATATTAATTCTTTGAGGTATTTCTGAACTTTTTATTTGACTTCGGCCCATTATGTCATTATTTAATGACCATGTTTTTTTAACATCAAACTTGGAATTGCTAATCTGTTTACTATAATACATTTTTTTTTGTTTTTTTAAGAAGATGTTCATAAAAACACTTATAATTTTTGTATATTTTCTCATTCTCTGAATTTTTATTTTTTAAGAACTTGTTGCATAGTTTTTTTTTACAACACTTTAAAAGTGTTTTATTCATCCAAGGATTATTTAGTGCTTTTATTTTAACTTGTATTTCTTCATATGGACAAGTTTCGTCGAATATCGCTAAAAATTTAGCTAAAAAAATACTAAAAGCTTCGTTTTTATTATGACAATTATAAACATCATTCCAATTTTTTAAATTTAATTTATTCGATAGTTTATTTGTATTATTGATGGTTAAGTTACGTTTCTTTAAATTTGTAAACTTTGGCTGAGTATCAATAAATTTTTTTTTAATAGTAATGTAGATCGGGAAATGATCGCTTATATCTGTTTTAAAAATGCCTGACTGAAATTAAGTTTCTAAGTAATTGTTAATAAGTATATTATCAATTGCTGTTTTTGAGGTTTTATTCACCCGAGTAGGTTTATTGATTACTGGCAAGACATTGTATCTAAACAACATTTCAAAAAACGATTTAGTTTTTGGAAAGTTGTGGTAATTCAGCGCGTTTAAATTTATATCACCAGATATACATAATTGTTTTTTTTCCTTATTTATTTTCAAAACACTCTTTTCAATAAAATTTTGAAACAATCTGATTTCTCCACATGGTGGACGGTAAACACACCCAATAATAGTATTTTTATTTTTGTTATTAATTATTTCAATAAAAAGACTTTCATAGTTTTCATTTGCTAAGCATAATTGTTTTTTTATCTTAAATTCTTTTTCAAGTATGTAAAATCCTCTTCCTCCACCTTTTTTATGATTTTCTCGTGGTTTCCTTATGTTTCCTCGTGGTTGGCTAATTACTTTGTAATTTGGCAAGCTATAATTAGAATTTGATTCAATCGGACTATCTGTTTCATGCCAAGTCTCTGACACAGCTAAATAAAATCAGAGATTTAGATGTCTAAAAACATTATAGTTAACTGTAAAAATGTAGTGATTTAGGAGGAACCTTTTATTGTTAGAAATGTAGTGATTTAGGAGGAATCAGTTTTATTGTTAGGGTTGCCACAACTTGGCAAATGTTACCGAGGTAGGACACGACACGACACCAGGGGGGCCTGGGGGCCCCCGTTTTATGTTTTTTTTTAAGAAAAATATTGATTATGGAAGAATTTTTTTACAAATTATTTATTGTGCCCCCCCCCACCCACTTCAAAACCCGTGTCGTTGGCCCTGCCGTTTATAAAAAACTTGAAGTTAATAAAATTAGTTAATAAAATTTATAATTCAAACTATAAATTACTATATAAATTATTGATTTTACTATATAGTATAAATATTCAATGAATATTGATTTGTAAATAAATAAACCAATATTTAATATAATAAATTAATAATTTATTTAATAATTTTTGAAAAATAATACTATGAATGTTACATATTTATTTTAATAAACTTTATATTAAACCAGAAAAAATGACGTTAATGAATAGACGCACTTTTACAACATAAAGCAGGTTTTTAATAATTAAAGCTTATCACAAAAGCACTCCTTCGTTAATGGATCATTTAAAAATAAAAAAAAGTTTTATTTTTAGCTATAGAATCAAAAGATTGAGCATAACAAAAATGATACTGCGAGTAAGCGCAGATTTGAGTAACGTTTATGAGATGTATAACGAATACTTCAACGGAATTTCTATATATTCATTTAATATTCCGAAACAGGAATTGAATAGAAAGTGGAACACCGCAAAAGGTAATAATTATCATTGTTATTATTATTATTTTGACCTAGAAATTTGAAAAATATGAATTATTAGAGCAATTATGTTTGCATGGCATTTAAAGACGTAACACACATTTCGTAACTATTCGTTATTTACGTTGCGTATCACATAAACGCGTTACGCATAATTAAGTGACATAATTATGTGATATTACGTAATACACTAACGAGTGGCTCATAATTGAACCCAACTGTTTGTTTTTAGCCATTACCTGGCTAATTGGACAAAAAATTTTAAAACAACAACAACTAAAACTTGGTGATTAATCCTTTGTAATACATGATTAATATATAACAATATTGAAGACAATTGCAAGGACTGCTGCAACTTTTTTTGGTGTTAGAGATGGTTCCAAATATATAGCTAACTTTAGACCTGAGTAGATTTATGCCTAAATCAGTACCGCCCTTTTACGTAAGGGCATTGCCCGGAACCGCGGCACTCAAAGATTTCCCGACACCCGTAAAATAAATACATTTTAAGTGAAAGTTTTAAATAATAGTAATACATTATAAGTAAAAATTTTATGCAAAAAATTGTCTGACAAGGAGAAATTATATAAAAAACAATTCAAAACAAAAATACTTTTTTCAGAAAACCATATTTGTAATAGAAGTAGTATATAAATTTTAATATATATAAATGACTTCTGTAATGCATCCTTAAAACTTAATTCAGTCATGTTTGCAGATGACACGAACTTATTTCTTACCAAAAACGATATCAAGAAATTATATGCGGACATGAATATTGAACTAAATAAAGTAAGTTACTGGTTTAAGGCTAACAAACTCTCACTTAATGCCGAGAAAACAAACTACATACTTTTTCATAAAAAAACACAAAAAGAAAATTTTCCTCTCAAGTAGCCAAACATATTTATAAACTTCCTCATATAATATATATCCATTCAAAAATTACCAAAATCATAGGTTTAATGTATCGAGTTCGCTCGTACATCAATACAAATAGTCTTAAATTAATCTACTTTGGGCTAATTCACAGCCTCATCAGCTATGCAAACATTTCATGGGCAAGTACTCAAACAACAAAGCTTAAGAAACTTTACAGTTTTCAGAAACATGCTTGTAGAATAATTTACTTTAAAAATAGGCGGGAACACGCTAATCCCTTGATGAAAGATATGAAAATGATGAATGTATTTAAAATAAATATCTACCAGCATTTAATTTTCATGTATCGTTACAATCACAATATCTCTCCTGTAAGCTTTAATAATAAGTTTGAGTTAAATAAAAATGATAGCTATAATCTTAGAGCGAATATGTTGAACAGATATACACTGCCTAGGATAATAAATAAATATTCAGAATACAGTATTTTATATCGAGGTCCAAAAGTATGGAATATTTTTCAAAAAGGGTTCAAAGGTACGGTGAGTTCATTAAGTTCATTCAAGTTTTTAACAAAAAAGAAATCTTTAAAACCTGTGAAACATTTTTTGTTAATAATGCATTGGATAAATTCTCTTAAATACGTTTTTGTTTTGTTTCTAATTTTATTATTATTATTATTATTATTATTATTATTATTATTATTATTATTATTATTATTATTATTTCATTTATTTAACATCCAGTGTAAGTTACAAGGTAAAAAAGAAAAATAAGAAAGTTATTTCTCGTGATTTTCACTTGATAATTTTTTCTTCCAGAATTTGTTTAAAAATTCCTCTTTGTTCTTTCACATTCCAGCACTCTATTGCATATTTCAAAGTTTGTCCAATTTCGGAGGGAATTTCACTTTTAGAAAGTGCTATTTTTATCTTCTTTTTATTTTGAATTAAGTTTTGAAAATTTAGCATCCGAAAACGGCATAGGTCCTGGATATCGCCAACAAACGAATGTTTAATTAAGGGGTGTTTCAGTTGTGAAAAGCAGACGAAGAAACAAGTTTAATTTATTTCGGTGAATACTTTCTGAAATCTCCTGGATTTTAAATAGCGAATTTATATAGTTCTTACTGTGTTTGGAAACATTTAAAAGCGATTTTAGTGCACTTTTTTGTTTGTTGCTTGACAAATTTTATTAGCGGATTACGCATTTTGTTATGATATTTTATTGAAATTTTTATTTTGTATGTCATATTACGATATTTTAATTAAATCTTGTTAAAGGGGTTCTATGAAAAGATTGCGATGACGTTCTGTCATCCTCATCTTCTTTGAGCTCCTATCTGTTTTACTTGTTTTGTTAAATTTTATATTATTTAGTGGAATTTGTAAAATTCTTATGTTATGTTAACAGAGAAAGAAAGAAAAAAAAAAAAAAAGAAAACAAAGTAAGATTTTATAATAATGTATATACATATATCAGTATATAAAGATATGCGGATGCAGTATATACGGATATACGTATATCAGTAAAATTAAGCTAATAAAAAAATATGCTTCGTAGTATAACGGGACAAGAACTCCTCTAAATCAAATTTCTCTAATGTGCATAGAAAATGACCATTAAAGAATTTGCTGGAAAAAAAACTTTTCAAAATCTCTGTATGTTTCGTGCTTATAATGTTCTGTTAATTCTGTTCATCAACATGAAACACATGTTTTGAATGATCAGTTAATTATTTTGATAATTATTACTTAATTCTAAAACCTAATGACTAGAACAAAAGCTAAATAAAGATAAAAGTTGAGTCTTTATTATTTAACGGTTATATTAGATAAATGAATATTATTTTTCATTATTTTCAAATCCAAGTTTCCCATCACTACCCTCCAATTCCTTAAAAAAAGGATCTGCAGGCGTCCATGGTGGGCCCCTAACAATATTTTTAGCCAGGGGCTTTTGGTAATATTAAGACGGTCCTTCGTGTTACGTTCTGTTCTAAATATAGAAGTTTATGTTTTGCTACTCAATAACTTCATAATTTCATGTAGTTATTGTGTTGCAAATTATAAACTCGTATTTTTTAAATGTAATTTTTTTAAATGCTAACATCAAAAAGATGCTTTTGAGGGAAATTAGAAAAATTTGGCCTAGGTGGAGCATTTAACAAATTACCATGACAACTTTGACTGAAATAATTAAAGAAGAAAAAGATTTTTTAAGACAAAAATTAGGTAGTCTTTGGAAATACAGTATTACTAGTGTTATATGAACCATGACGGTGGTTTAAATGAAGATAATGGTTAATACGTCTCATCGGGGTTTTGGAAACGATATTTATCTTATTTAAGACGTTATTTTACGTTAAGGCAATTTTTACGTATAACTGTTTTAACTACTGTAATATTTCACAAATAAGTCGAACAAATTTGAAAAATAACTTGATATTATTATAAAAAAATGAACTGATTATTTCTGGTTTTTTAATATATTTTAAAGAGGAGTTTTTATTATTGTTTAAAAAACTTACTTGTTTTTAAGAGAAACTTATTTTCATGCCTGCATTTAATTGAACAACTCTGAAATAGCTCGAAGATTCGGTTGTTCTTATAAAAAAGTTATCAATACTATTAATTTATTTAATAATACAGGTTTATTAGGCAACAAAAAACGCAAGTCTTGTGAACGAAAGACAACCCCCCAGAAAAGAGGCAGCCATTGTCCGGATCACAAACTAAATCCTTTTGCAGGTGCACCAAAAATTAAAGATCAAATCTCTCAAAAGTCAATCTGTCTATCAGCTCTGTCAAAAGTTGTTTACGCAAAAATAAGCTGTTTGGAAGAGTAACCCGAAAAAAACCATTGGTCTTAAAACGCAATCTCGTCAGTCGTTTGAAGTTTTCAAAACAGTACGTACACAAGGAGTTACGTTTTTGTAAAAATGTGCTTTGACCTGACGCGTCTAACTTGAACTGACGAGTTTAATAAGTTTAATTGCTTTGGATCTGACGAAAACAATATGTTTGTTGTCACCAAAGCCAAGAACTCAGCCCTTGGTTTCCTCTAAAGACTGTAAGACATAGTGGTGGCAAGGCGATTGTTCGAGGCAGTTTTTCATGATGTGGCGTGGACCCGTTGCATAAAATTCAAGGGACAATGGATTAACAAATTTACAAAGAGATACTAGAAAAAGTCATGTTGGCTTATGCCGAGGAAAATTTTCCATTGGTTAGGAAATTCCAACAAGACAACAACCCAAAGCACACCGCCAAAAGTGTTAAAATGTGATTTAACGCTAACAAGGTTGGTGTTTTAGAGTGTCCCGCACAGTCACCAAACCTAAATCCAATTGAAAATTTGCGGAAGAAAGTTTACAGAAACATAAATCGATCAACTACAACAAAGTTAGGCCAATTTCAAATTGAAATATAGGCTGTTTGGGACGCCATTACACCTGAACAATACCAAAAATTGATCACCGGGTAAGGTTTTTCTGAATTGGTTTATTATACGAATTGTCCTTCCGGAATAATTTTTCAAATTTTGCGAACTCGATTGTTTTACGTAAAATATCTGCCGTTATTTAGGGGTAAAAGTAATTAATGTCAAATTGAACAAATGGACATGTTTTTATTTTTTTTTAGACATTCTTTTTTGAAAAATCAATTTTTTAAAGTCAGTATTAATTTTCCATTGTTTTAAATGTAATTTATTTATAAGAACCTTATCGATTTTTTTTTATCTAATTAAAAATCTAGCCTCACTTTTTGAATGGTTTAACAATCTTCAAGGTACTTTGTTTTGAAACTTTAAATTATGATGTTTTTAGTATTATAAAAGCTAGGGCAGGAGCAGTTTCGGGCAGTTTAATCAACAAAAACCAAAATATTTGGGTTTGATTTAATATTTTTTTAATTCTTTTTGGAATTTGTTGCTTATATGCCGAAACTTTATTATTTTAATTAAGTGCAATATGAGGAATAAAAGGTTTAAACTTATCATTTCCTAATTCATTACATCAACTGTGTTTGCTTTTGGTTTTAAGAAAATGCTCTTTTTAACGAAATATATATATATATATATATATATATATATATATATATATATATATATAT